AGCAGACTAATTGATGAATTTAGGAATATACGAATATATGTAAATAGTACACTAAATTGTTTAGTGCGCATACCGCCAATAGAGATAATTAAAGTTACCATTTTCCGCCATTTTTGTGGGAATGAGAACCTTATCACATGTTTATAACTGTTATCACTGTTTATTACAATTACAAGTTAAGTTGATAGCAGATAACAAAATCACTCTTAATTATTATTATTCACTCCACACGCCTACGTTTACTTTAAATAGGAAAAATAGGGGCATGATATTTTATTTCTACCTTCTACTATTAATTCTCAAGTACAAAAAGCAGTACAAACAAAGCTCCACGACTATTGCACGATCGATCTTGGGGTTTTTATCGTCAGGAAACAATCTCTATATTTAGTCTAAAAATAAACGCTACTCATTTGCATGCCCAACGTGGAATGTTTTTAGTAACATATGGTCATTGGCAATGCACTCGAAACTGTTTTGTAGTCATTTCCTCTGGATCACTGTAATTTGTCTAAAGGTCAATATTGAAAAGGGCAAATTCATCGCATTGCTGTTAACTGTGCGCTGTCCAGACAATTAACAAAACACATTTCTTTGTGTAAAATATTCGACATGGGTTACTGTGCTAAGGCGACACCGCACAATTTGATTATCCACTTTAGATGGAAACATATTTAAGCTGAAGACTTGTTAAATTCGAACAAGTTTAGCTATCAGTCGAAGAACTGATAAAAGCTCTTACACCGATGAAGTAGATATAAGATGTATATATATATAGACCATATGCCTTGCAGACATTAACTAGTAAAAGATCTGTCGGGAGTCCTGGAAATCGGCAGCTGTCATTATCTAAGAAAAATACCAACGACAAAGACCAGAATGGGCGGATTTCTAAGGAAAAAAACGTTTATTAAAAAAAAAATTATATTTCATTCTATTTAAAATGGTACATTAAAAATAAAAAATGTTTTAAATATTTTGTTTGTCGATAAACAAAAATAAGTAAGCGGAAGTAATATATTTCTTAATAATTAAACCTTTAAGTTTTCATGTAAATTTCAAGTATTATTTTTGTTTTTAAACACTTAAATCCGTGTGCTAATAATATATAAAAGCCCGATTTAGCGAATTCCCCTTTGTTTGACTTTATTAATGTTTTATAAAAATATTTAATTTAATATAACGTTACGAGATTTAATAATGTATTTTTTTATTAAAAAGAGTGCCTTTAGACTTGATAATTCAATAAACAGCGGACGTACTTTCGGTACAAATTTCGACTCTAAACTGTAAGTAAACAAACTGAAATAAAAAATAAATATTTTCTTGGTATTTGCTAGTAGGTCGGTAGGGCCAACTGGCTAGTTGAAAAATATTAGTCAATACATGTTTTAATAATAGTTGGAACTTAAAAAACTCACTTAAATTTGAACATTTACACAACAAAGATTGTATTAAAAATATAATAATTTTTTAAAAAGTGATTTTATCAATTTCAGACCTGGCATAATACCTCTGACATCACAACATTGTATGGCCCAGCTGTTTAACATTGAAACATACATAGTAGTTAACGCCATTTTTTAAAGATCTGAAAAAATCTTCATAAAATTTATCAAGTTAAATATATATTTTCGCATAATATAAGTGATGTGTGGTTATTTCTGTAGGTGTCTTTATGCATTTTATGTTGTTGAACTTGGCTCGGTTGTATAATGGTGATGAAATGTTGAAAAGTGCAATAATATTACTCAGAAAAACAATTAATGCAATTTCATTTATTTTTTTTATGACACTTATTTTTATCCTACACCACACGCAGTAATCGCTGGACTGTCCAAATTTAAAGTGACACTTCTATGTAACCAGCCGGCGAAATTATTCATTTTTTTAACTGTCTTTCTAAAGAAAGGCGGTTCTTAGAAGTCGGAATATCTAACATAACCCACATTCGCACTGGTTAACAATCTGCCAGAGTAGGTTCGAATGTATTTATTTACATTGCAGATATCTGTTCAAGATGCACTGTACCTTATGAAAAATTGACATTATGAAACGACAATGCTAATTGTTGTAGCGTTTTGAAACAATGTGCTCTACAATATATTTTTTATGAAAAAAAACAACAACATGATTTTATCACAAAAGTACCCACTCAGCTTTTACTATGCCCATTGAAAAGTTTTGATATTTAACGATTTTTTCGGTTAACTCAAAGTTTTAAAAACCATTATTAAAGTCTGAAAGTTGTATTAAACCGTTGAGTGTTGTTTGAAAAAATTTTTACTCGTTAATTATCGACACTTTATTTTGCTTATCTTATGAGTGACGAAATTGTCATCACTGTTCGCGTGGGCGGTTGTTAAAATATAAATAATTTACCAATATTGGAAAAATTTTAATTTTAAATATGGTTATTTGAATATGATTATAATAATATACATTTATACAATATATACAAGTAGGGATGTTCATAGGTAGGTCCAAGGATCAGAAATAACCGGAAACCCAGTACTTAAATGTACTTAGGGTACAATGTTAAAGGTACCGTTCAATTAATTGTATTCTCTTTTGTGCCCGTTTTGTTCACCGTTGAGTCAATATATTATAATAATATTGCAAGTTTAAATCTCTTTGGGTACAGAATAAATAAAACATAATTGCCTTGGAACACTACAATATTATCAAAGCATAAATTATTGTACGTTAATATTATTTTACCGGACAATGTACAAAATGTAATTAAACCATGCATTAGGAAGGAGAACTTGGCAATTTTAGACCCTTCGAAACTCTGTAAAGCTTCTGTAAAAAAATGTGTGAAACCACTTTGGAAAGGTCATTTGGGATTTTCGCCCCAATTTTATGGATATGTTTAAAAATGTCTTAAGTATACAAATTGTATATTATAGATAATGTAATCAATGAAAAAATAAATAATGAATAATGTATCAAACCTTTTGTAACTTCATTAGTGCTTTTCAAAATACCTACGCAGATTTTAAGGTTTTTTTAAAGATTTTTAGAATCCTCAGTCCCACCCATGATAAGGACCACTAACCGGTTGTGTGTGACAACTTTGAAGTGTCTTCGGTTTTATTAATTAATTTATTCTTTTACATATACAGTGCATCGAACAAAAGCCACAATATTGTATGCATTTTTAACATATCAAACGTTTGATAAACTTCCAGGTAATACAATTTGTTTTGTACATGTTATTTACTACATCAAAAGATTTAATATTACACTTTTAGAGAAAAAATTCTAGAATTTATGTCCCGGTAAAAAATTGAATAAACTATAATAATAAAATAATTCGTTCGGGGCTTTTTTTTTCTTCTTTGCAAATAATTTCTTTTATAGCTACATAATTATTTTTCTTGACGAGAATTTCAGCTTCGACATTATATTATGTACTTTCCAGACGTTTATAAATGTATACTTATTATTATTTTCATACCGTTTCAGAGTATTATCGACATTGAAATAACTTTTTTTTAAAGACTTCCCAAGAGTATTAAAAAACCCTGACTGAAATCGTGTAGAAATAATATACACTCAAACGTTTAATGTATTATATTACATATTATATTTAATCAAACATTGATAATTTATAAAAAATAATACGAATGGTATTGGTAAAAATAATAAAGTTAATAAAATTTGCTAAGCAGAGAACGTTCACATGCATAGAAACAATTGGTTGCTGCGACAACATGTGTGCTGCCAAAATTAGCTGGTAGTATTCCTGCCAGCCAAGCTTAGTTAATAGTAATTTCAGTTCATAAGCCTTTGGAAACCTAATAAGAGTAATAAAGCGAGCATAGATGAAGCACTTGAGAATCTCCTGTATTAGATATTTCTCGGTATAATTTCATAGTTATATAATAATATGCACCTGGCAAAGTAGTTTCACTAACGAGAAACCAAGTCATAGAAAACTTTGAAAACAAAGGACATGTAATGTATTAAAAGTTGTGAATATAGTTTTACAGCGGAAGAGATAATTAGAGACCAGCAAACAAACACAAATGTTAATAAATATTCAAATGTCCAAAAGCAGAAAAGGAAGAAAAAAGGAAAGACGGTTTTCAAAATTTTAAAAATGAGCAAATGATTGTTGTATTCTTTATATTCATTAACCATTTGTATTTGATTTCTTCGTGTAACTTTTAAGCATATATAATTGTCAATTATTTAGGTTCAATGCTTTTATCGATATTCAACTACTACTATTCACTTAGGTATCTGATGCCGTGCTGGTTTATATTATGCTTCGTTTGTATTGTAATTGTTTGTTGATCTTACTATTCGCATCGAAACGTTCATCTAAAAGTCATTTGTCCTTTTCAGATGTATTTTCGGTAGTCCTTGTACATCATATAGAGTTATAATATAAATAGATGAACTAACATATTATAATATTATACTAGCCTGTACGCGATAGCGAATAGTAGGACTAAAACCAGTATGGCCACACAAACGGAAAAAAAGTCCACACCGTTAAGCGATTGGTGCTCTATGTTATGATAAAAAAAAACGTTTACACCTTATCTTGAAATATCTTGATACTGTTATCATTTCTTCCAACTAGGCACACCGACTTTAGTGTCTTACAGTTTGACAGACACGGCCTCAATTCAAAACCAGTATGCCCCCACCCTCCCCCCCCCCACTGTACTGGCTTTCTTATTGAATTTTTTTTTCTTACAATTTTTTTCTCTCGAGCGCTCCGAAAAACTGATAAGAGGGTCGACGTGTTGGGGGGGGGCCGAAGTGGGGGCCCACCCAGAACGGGGGCCAAGGGTGCCGCCGCCGCGCCGTCGTACCGCTAGGCCGCGCGCTCGGACGCCGGATGGCCGCCGCAGCCGCCGACGGACGGATTCAGACGCCGAACGAGCGCGCGCGACAGCCCGATCGAGCCCAATGCTGTGTGCCGGTACTAGTAGTAGTAGTCTGCCGCGGACCATTCATCCCTGCCGTTCTCGTCGCCGTTGGCCGCCGTGCACGCGTTACGTCCGCAACCGTCGTCGCGCGGACCGCCAGTGAGAAAGTCGCCCGCGATTTCCCCCTTTGGCTCCCCCCGGCTCCCCTCGCACGTTGGTTACACCGCAACAACATCAAAAATCTATATCTAATTGAAATAAAAAAAAAAAATAATAAATTAATAGTAATTATTATTTTAATATAACAGATATAATAATATTTAGCTGTAAATACCGAAAAACGATCACTTGTTACAGTTAGATTCGTTGTTGTTGTTGTTGTCGTCGTCGCATTTGCCGAGTGTTTTTTTTAAAATTGTATTTAATCGTGCGAGTTCGGACGTTAAGTTTTTTTTTTTAAATACTGCCGGGTATAAAAAAAATTGTTTTACAAAAAAAAAAACACACAATTATTGTAACATATCACGTGGAGAAATCCCGCGTTGCCGTCGTGCACACATCCTGTATATGTGGACGCTATCGGGGGCCCGACTGTCGGTCGTGGACCCGAAACCGGTTTTGCGCAGGGTGACCACCACCGCATCTGATGCTGCAGTGTCGCCAACGATAACGTCGCAACGTACCAGGTCAGTGGTTAGGTCTATTTTACTACAACTCAAAATGGACAATATTGAAAATATGATAATACGATATACTAACAATGGACGCGCAAAATATTATAAAATCTACTACATAGGGTTTGTCAAGTCTGAAAAGTGTCGTTCGTTGTACAAGTGGTGGAACTACAATTTTTTTAAAACAATTTTATATTTCACCGTATCGCGGTTTAAGTATTGGATTTTTATAATAGTCATACTTCACAATTTGATTTTACCATATTGTAAACCTGCTATAATATAATCGTGATAAATTATATCAATACACAGCTGAAAATAATAATGTACATGTACATTTGATTTATTATAATTGTGAAGAGCCGGTTTAGAACATGGCCGCCACGTTTTTGTGTGATAACTGTTAATTTTTATCAGTGTCCAGGGTCAATATTTTAGTATCCCGCCAATTTAGGAGATAATGAGATGATAACAGTATTATCATTTTTCAAAGTACAATCACTATCACACATTAATAAGTGACTTGACTTTTACTATAATTTTTTTTCTTAATAATAAAATTTCACAGTGAAATACAGTAAACACACATTCATAAATCGTTTCGGAATTAAGAAGAGACGAAAAATATTAAGAAACCTAAGCGCAAAAATAAGTAAGAAGGATAGCAAGTTTTTATTAATTATTTTACATTTTGACTGAATTTAATTTTAAAAAATGTTACAGTAAAACACATATTTTTAATGTAGCAAAATAAAAGTTTTATCTAATACAAAATATTATAAATTGAAAATTATAAAAAAAATGTATGCCGGTGCAATATTTAACTATTTTACAAGACAAAAAAAATTATAATAAAAATTGAAATATTTCATTTGAATAATTCAAAATTAAAAAAATATATATATTAATTCAATATTTACTATCAGATTTGAAAATTTATTTAACCTTTTTAATTTATCAAACAGAACCTTTGAAAATAATAATAATTTATTATTATTAGGTAATTATACAAATGGTTGGAAGTCTTTTTATTACATTCATTTTTATATTTAATTATACATAATACAAGAACTAACGGTGTTGGCAAGTCGGTTTTCGGTTTTGCACTTTTAAATAATATTCTTCATTTTTAAAATATGCAAAAAAATAAAACCAAAATTGAATCGAAATTAGTTTGTCTCATATTTTATCAAAACATAAAATCGGTATATTCGCTTGTCATAAATTTAATTTATAATACGACGCATACTTAATAATGTTATAAACTATATTATTTATCATGATATTAAGAATTTAAAAAAAAACATTTTAGTATATACTAATATAATATTTATTAATGTTTACTTACAAAAAAATGTAAAGTTCTCAAGTAAAACTGCAAACGCTCTAGTGTCACATTTTCCATATTAGAGCGCATTCATACATTAGCTTAATCAGAGCTTAACTCTAAAACTAAAAAATCATTCTTTTAATAGTGTTTAATGTTTCCTAATATCAATTGTCGTATTAGTCGTTTTAGGTAAAGTTATTTTCTAGAAAATGTGTTTCCAACAAAACACAGTTAAACTGCTCATCCATTTGCCGTATCTTTATTGAAACGCTTAATTGAAAATGCCACACAGTCTAAAACATAATCTCATATTTTTTTCGGCAATATTCAGACGACTTTATGGGTTTTATATCAGTATAGATTTCTTTGCCATCTGTCGACGAGATCACTATAATACCATGTCTGCTGGGTTTTAATAAATCCAATAGAATATGCGGTGGTGTCAAGCTACTTTACCGCAGAGCGTATAGGGTAATGGTCACATTGGCTGTTGTTGATATTATCATTATTAGTAGTTTCAACGCCAGATGCTGCCGAAGAAAAATTATTAGAAATGTGACACCACAAGTTTGACTTAACACAATCAATATCAAAGTACAATAATATTATGTGATCTGGGCGAGGCGATGATGCTTTAATAAACCGACATAGTCCGGGAACAGGTGGTTTACCGTATATGAGAATATGAAAAAAAAAAACCCCCTATACATAGGTGTAAATACACTGTGTAGAAGAAAACATGACCGTGTGTTTCTCAAAAATAAACATCAACACGCTCGGTTTGCCGTCATATAACCGAAGTGTGTTATTATTAAACTTTTGGACGCGTGTAGGCCTTATATATATATATAACAAGTACTTTGACGTGACGGGCAACAAGTTGCCGGGATTACACACATAAGGTGACTGCGCCACCGATGGAATTGACGTCGTGTACCGATTTCCCTTAAGGGGGATGGGGTTAAAAGGGTTAAATTAACAAAAAACAAAACAAAAATCCACAACACAGGGTCAGATATCTTTGGAACATCTTATATATTATACTGCTGACTGCCGCCGTCACCGTCAATTTATCCGGTAATTAGGGCGATTTCATTAAAAAAAAAAAACAAACAGCGGTTGTAATAAAAAAAAAAAAAAAAATATAACCGAGACGGTGTTCTACTTCTTCTTATTTTATGTTTACCGCATCATTGTACTGTATTGTAGTTACTTACAGGGCGCAGCACATAGTATAAAAAAAACATCCCCCTGTAAGATTTCCCCTCCGTGCCGGTTTATTATTATTGTCATTATTTTAATGCGCTGGGCGTGTCGCATGCAAAAGGCACATCATTTTTATTTCGGGTCTGTGAACGCAAGGGATTACTACACAGGGTGCGCGGTAATCCCGTGACGTTTTAGTAAAAATATGTTTTTTGTTTTTAAAAAAAGGATTCCGCAAATGTATGCAATCGTATGGGCGAACAAAAGGATAATATGGCCTCCTCTCCAAAGAAACCGGTGTGGGATTTAAAAGTTTCAGCAAAAGGCTTGCAAATACAAATTTCTGGTTAGGTTCGAATTGAGAATTACACCTAATATTCATAATAGACACTTGCTCAATACTCGAATGTGTGATTGTTGATAATTTTGTTGGAAATTACTTTTGACGTGGATATATATATGTAGCTATAAGATTATAGATAATAGATATAGATTATAAATAGGAGTATGAATCTGGCCTAGCAACGACTTTCTTGAAGCCACAAATTAAGTTGGTAACACTGAAGTGAGGGTTCACTGGACTGCACTTGATCAGGTTTTCCTATCGAGCAACGTTAATAATTGTTATCTGTGTATTTATTATGTACACAGATTGAAAGCAGAACCGTTTCGATGATAATAATAAAATGTACAAGTTAATAAAAAGTGATTGTCGTTTAAATTTACAATTTCCCAATAATACATTATATTCCGCCTTATGTAATTAAATGTAACATTTAAAATATGTTATTCCGTTGTGCGATAATAATAATTACTTTTTCATAAAAAAAAAAGAAACACCCCTTTACACTATAATTGCTTGTATGCTGTAATGTCGTTTGGCGTTCCGTGACTTCAAACACTTAATATACAAACACACTTTTATCGAGCCTTTACGTTATTTTAGCGCTCCTTCATAGGTATTCGGTAGTAGTAGTTTTTACATTGTTTTTTTAAATTTAATTCAGTTTACTTCAGACATACGGTGAACTTTGCCAAATATCGGTCACTGTGCCGTATATCGCGCGCAGGACCGTCTTAATTGTTGTACAGGGCGATACATCCGATGTAAGACACTAATTTTTTTGGGAAAAATGTGAATATTTTGTTAATCAGTCTGTTCTCGTTTTGCTATGACTTAGAAATGACATCAGACCAATTTTTGTGTAGGTATTCGTTATTAATACAAATCATGAGATGTGTAAGCCCAAAGTTTTAACTGTTTTTTTTTTTCGAAAAAAATGTCTCTGTAACAAGTAGGAGAAGGGCCGGCCTGTTGTGATGACAGAAATAAACCGATGGATATGACGCTCGTTTGTAATGTCACACGGCTATGTCAGCAGCACCGTAAGAGGCACAGCACGTGGTCCGAAAAAGAAAAGAAAAATGTATTATTTACTGGAATTTTCCGAGTTTACGGCTTTTACACGAGTCACATTATTGTTGAAAAAGCGGAGCTAGGCAATAAAACCAAAAAAAAAAAAATAAACTGTTCAATATCGTTTGAATGGCCGTTTAAAAGACAACTGGAAAAGGACTACAATAATATGGCGCGCAAATAGTAAACACTTTTAATCACCTAGCCCCGCTAAAGAATATAATATACTTGACTTGAACGTCGCATTGTCTACTGCACTTCAACCTCGACAACTCTTCAAGTCGGCTATAATATTATTATTATGCCCACATAACCCACGTGACTATTTTTGAATACACTATAAAACCGTTATGGCTTAAAAAGTTATACTTACACCGATCACCTGAAACAAACACACTTTTTATGTTTCACAATGTATTATAGTAGTGTATTACTATTTACATTGTATAAAGCCTAAACTATTTATATTAAGTTAAAATACAATTTACATTAAATTAGATTAACACGAATACAATACATTTGATCAAACATATTATAAAAGTCTTAGTTTTCACTTGTTAATTAGAACAAAAAATAATTTTTTTTTCCATTTATTTTGTTTCTGGACGACCAAAAAAACAATTTGTACATCCTTAATTGAAGTCAACTAAAGAGAGTGTTTAAAAACAATATTTTTCATGGAAAAACATTATTAATTATTGTCGATACTTAATGGAACTCGCTGGACGAATAGATCAAACTTCCCTGGGAGTAATTATTTTAATACAATGTTCTAGGTAAGTATTAAAAGTTTTTACATTTATTTGTGTCTTATGTCTCTCCGGGTAAAACTCTATACTTACCAGCTACCTTCTTACCGGGAAACGGTGTGCGTTCATTTGGGATTATTTTAAACTTGCAGCGTACAACAAGCTTCAGACTTCAACATAGAAATAAAATCAATACTATATTTTAATAATGTAAATTAAAAATGATTTAACACAAAATGAATAATTCGATTCTGCAGAATTTATAAGCACACATAAGCCTATTTAACCCGGGCGAATTATTAATTATTTA